AGAGGAGGAGGGGGCTGTTCTCCCTCATTGCTGTGGGGCATGGCGGGAGCAAGCCTGTGTGTCTCCTCAAGGAGCTGTCCCTGGGGCTACACTGGAGGGACGCTGTCCCAGAACCTCACACCTGCAGGAAGCTGCCAGGGCTTAGGCACAGGCAGCATGTGACTAAGAGCTTTCCCTCCTCCCTCTGCACAGCTTCCCTGGAGAAGGAGCCACCTCCCCGCCTGGGGGAACTGACCGTGACCGAGGAGACCTCCAGCTCCCTGCACCTGTCCTGGACGGTAGCCCAGGGCCCCTTTGAATCCTTCGTGGTCCAGTACAGGGACACGGATGGGCAGCCCAGGGCAGTGCCTGTGGCCGCAGACCAGCACACGGTCACCATAGAGGACCTGGAGCCTGGCAAGAAGTACAAGTTTCTGCTCTACGGGCTCGTTGGGGGAAAGCGCCTGGGCCCGGTCTCCGCCCTGGGAATGACAGGTGAGGCTGCTGTGCTTGGCTATAGCAAGCCACCTTGTGTGGGTTTCCTTGTGCATTTGGGCGGAAGACAAAGATGACTGCAGGAGTGGGCAGGTGGGAGTGGGGCACCCTGGCCTGTCCCCAGGAAGGAGGAGGAGTCTGCAGGCTTGTGGGCTTCAATATCCATCAAGGAGTCCAGAGCAGGAGCCAGGCCAGGTAAGAGGGAAAGGCCCTGGCAGGGGCTCCCTCATCTCCCAGCTCCAACTCTGCCCCATCACTGCCGCTGGTCCTCGTTACTCACTGGGGCAGCTGTCGCCTCCCCGAAGGTGGCCTTGTCCAGAGAGCGGCAAACCTCCCTGCCATGGATGAGTCAGGAGCATTTTCTCAAGAGGAAAATCACTGGAAAACAAAATGAGCGGGGACACAGAAACCAACAGAAGTGGCTGCATTTGTGCTACAGGCTCCGCTTCCAGTGCTCACTGATGCCCACCTCAGACAGGCCTGACCAAGGCACGGCTGGCGGGATTTGCCAGTCACCTTTACCAGCCAGATCCACCCTCAGCTTCTCTCAGAAGGGAGCACCACACTCCCCAAGCTCAGTGAATGTGTCCCGGCGTGGGTGGGGGCGGAGCCTGTGATAGCTCAGGGTGGGCTCGGGAGGACACTGGGGTGTGGAAGGGGGAAGCGAGCACCTGACTCCGACAGCCAGGGAGCTCGCGGGAGTCACGAGGCCACAGCGACTTCATGGTCTGACTGGGCCTGGACCTCTAAACTTCCCACCGCAGCCTTGGGCCAAGCCTGAAAGATAAAAACGGAGGGCCCCACGGCACCCCTCACTCAGATTCTGCCCTGGGCTTTTCCCACACAGCCCCAGAAGAGGACACGCCAGCCCCAGAGTTAGCCTCAGAGGCCCCTGAGCCTCCTGAAGAGCCCCGCCTAGGGGTGCTGGCCGTGACCGACACAGCCCCAGACTCCATGCGCCTCTCGTGGAGCGTGGCCCAGGGCCCCTTTGATTCCTTCGTGGTCCAGTATGAGGACACGAACGGGCAGCCCCAGGCCTTGCTCGTGGACGGTGACCAGAGCAAGATCCTCATCTCAGGCCTGGAGCCCAGCACCCCCTACAGGTTCCTCCTCTATGGCCTCCATGAAGGGAAGCGCCTGGGGCCCCTCTCAGCTGAGGGCACCACAGGTACCACCAGGCATCTCTGACCTCTAGTCTGGGACTCGGAAGGGGGAAAGGGGGGCTCAGAAGTGGTGGTCGCAGGGAAAGAGCGTGAAGCAGGTACCAGGGAGAGAGGACGGGTGGGCTGGACGTGAGTGGCCTTTAGCTCTGCCCCATAGGGCCCCCCTGTGGCTGCAAGTCCCTGGTTACAGATAGAGAAACAGGGGCAGGGAGGGGGGTGGAAGGGATGTGCTCTGGGTCACTAAGCTGGTGTGCTTCTGTCTCCAATCCCTTCTCTCCCACCCACTCCATGCAGGGCCGGCCCCTGCTGGTCAGACCTCAGGGGAGCCAGGACCCCGCCTGTCCCAGCTGTCTGTGACTGATGTGACCACCAGTTCACTGAGGCTCAACTGGGAGGCCCCACCTGGGGCCTTCGACTCCTTCCTGCTCCGCTTTGGGGTTCCATCACCAAGCACTCTGGAGCCGCATCCCCGTCCTCTGCTGCAGCGCGAGCTGATGGTGCCGGGGACGCGGCACTCAGCCGTGCTTCGGGACCTGCGTCCGGGGACGCTGTACAGCCTGACACTGTATGGGCTGCGAGGACCCCACAAGGCCGATAGCATCCAGGGCACTGCTCGCACCCTCAGCCCAGGTAAGGATCCACACGCACTCTGCCCCAAAGTGGGGGTCTTTGTACTAACGGAGGGGACCTGGTGCCTCAGTCAGCAGTGGGGTGGGCGAGTTGGTGGTGAGCCTGGAGGAATCTGCAGAGCGACTTCCATTCCGGGGACTAGAGGAAAAGGGGTGCTGAGCCTGTGCTGGAGCAGAGGCGAGGGGTGGGACTCATAGGGAGGAGCGTCCCTGCCCCTGCCCGCATCATTGTTCCTTGCCCCCTCTGCAGTTCTGGAGAGCCCCCGTGACCTCCAATTCAGTGAAATCAGGGAGACCTCAGCCAAGGTCAACTGGATGCCCCCGCCGTCCCGGGCGGACAGCTTCAAAGTCTCCTACCAGCTGGCGGACGGAGGTGGTGCCTTTGCCATGGGCTCATTGCCTCGCGTTTCCCCTCCCCCCTGCACTCTGCCCACCCTCCAGCCCTCCTGGGGTTCGCTGGGTAACCCTCGATCCCCAATGTTTTCAGGGGAGCCACAGAGCGTGCAGGTGGACGGCCGGGCCCGGACCCAGAAACTCCAGGGGCTGATCCCAGGCGCTCGCTACGAGGTGACCGTGGTCTCCGTCCGAGGCTTTGAGGAGAGTGAGCCTCTCACAGGCTTCCTCACCACGGGTGAGATGGACTGGGACCTGGGGCAAGAGGCGGGAGCCAAGAAAATGGCATGGGTGGGAGTTGAGAGAGAAGGAGGAGGGTGAAAGGGAGGTGGTGGAGGCTCCGATTGCGGACAGGAGGCCGGTGGAGTCTGGGGAGTCAGGGACTAGAGAGACCAGCGGGGACCCCTCTGAGCCCCTCCCCTTCCCCCAGTTCCTGACGGCCCCACCCAGTTGCGTGCACTGAACTTGACCGAGGGGTTCGCCGTGCTGCACTGGAAGCCCCCCCAGAATCCCGTGGACACCTATGACGTCCAGGTCACAGCCCCTGGGGGTGAGCAGGGCTGAGGCCTCTGGAGGGGACTTGTTCCGGGTGGGGATTGCAGGGGGGAGACTGGACTCTGGCCGGGGATGGAGGGGGAGGCATTGACGCCCCTCTTCGCACTCCCAGCCCCGCCTCTGCAGGCCGAGGCCCCGGGCAGCGCGGTGGACTACCCCCTGCATGACCTCGTCCTGCACACCAACTACACCGCCACCGTGCGCGGCCTGCGGGGCCCCAACCTCACTTCCCCAGCCAGCATCACCTTCACCACAGGTAGGGTCTGTGGGGTGTGTGGGATGGGGGAGAGGAGGTAGAGGGAGCCAGGATGGGCCTCATCCCCATCTCCTCTTCCTGCTTTCCCTCCTAGGGCTAGAGGCCCCTCGGGACTTGGAGGCCAAGGAAGTGACCCCCCGCACCGCCCTGCTCACTTGGACTGAGCCCCAAGTCCGGCCCACAGGCTACCTGCTCAGCTTCGACACCCCTGGTGGCCGGACCCAGGTGCCCCGGCCCCACTGACCAACTCCCCTCCCTGGGTGATTCCAGGAGGTGCTGCCTCTGGCCCTCCCTGAGGGACTCCACCTCCCTCTCCCCTGACCTCCCCTTGTCTGTTCCACAGGAGATCCTGCTCCCGGGAGGGGTCACATCTCACCAGCTCCTCGGCCTCTTTCCCTCCACCCTCTACAATGCACGGCTCCAGGCCATGTGGGGCGAGAGCCTCCTGCCGCCCGTGTCCACCTCTTTCACCACCGGTACCTGGACACACGGGCCGGGGCGGGGGACTGGGTGGGCAGCCACGGTCCAAGGCTTGGAAAAGGACTGGCCCCTGCTCTCCTCTCCCCAGGTGGGCTGCGGATCCCCTTCCCCAGGGACTGCGGGGAGGAGATGCAGAACGGAGCCGGTGCCTCCAGGACCACCACCATCTTCCTCAACGGCAACCGCGAGCGGCCCCTGAACGTGTTTTGTGACATGGAGACTGACGGGGGCGGCTGGCTGGTGGGTGGCATTGGGAAACCCAGGGGTCCGTGCAGGGCAGGGGCTGTTGCCCCGGGAGCCAGAGGCTGATGGTGCCCCCACTTGCTTCCCAGGTGTTCCAGCGCCGCATGGATGGACAGACAGACTTCTGGAGGGACTGGGAGGACTATGCCCATGGTTTTGGGAACATCTCTGGGGAGTTCTGGCTGGGTCAGTACCTCACAGGGGTTGGGGAACTACGGATGGGATGGGGGCCCTGTGGACACCAGGACCCTGATGAGGTCATGTCTCCCACCCCCAGGCAACGAGGCCCTGCACAGCCTGACGCAGGCAGGTGACTACTCCATGCGCGTGGACCTGCGGGCTGGGGACGAGGCTGTGTTCGCCCAGTACGACTCCTTCCGCGTAGACTCGGCTGCGGAGTACTACCGCCTCCACCTGGAGGGCTACCACGGCACCGCAGGTAAGCACAGGCTGCGAGGCTGGGAGGGTGAGGCTGGGAGGGGAGGCCCTCATGGCTCCTTCCTCCACCCTGCCCAGGGGACTCCATGAGCTACCACAGCGGCAGTGTCTTCTCTGCCCGTGATCGGGACCCCAACAACTTGCTCATCTCCTGCGCCGTCTCCTACCGAGGGGCCTGGTGGTACAGGAACTGCCACTACGCCAACCTCAACGGGCTCTACGGGAGCACAGTGGACCATCAGGTGAGGGGTGTGGAGGGGGCACAGAGCCGGGGTGGCTGGGGCTCGGCCTGCCTAGGTTTCAGCCCCACAGTGTAACAGCAAGGGACTGAGCGGCTGGGTGAAACGGAACAATCGTGCCAGCCTCACAGAGGGAGCTGGAGGTGATTTATTGGGTGGAAAGGGCCAGCTCAGGATTAAGCCTCAGTCTTCTGTGGTGGAGGGTCAGGAGGGGAGCTGTGTGGGGAGGTTGGTTGAGTGCTCGGAGCCACCTCCTTAAGGGAAATGGGAGGAGCAGATGGGACATCCGGCTTTGACTCTATCTTGACAACCCCTTTCCCAGGGAGTGAGCTGGTACTACTGGAAGGGCTTCGAGTTCTCGGTGCCCTTCACGGAAATGAAGCTGAGACCAAGAAACTTTCGCTCCCCAGCCGGGGGAGGCTGAGCTGCTGCCCACCTCTCTTGCACCCCAGTATGACTGCCGAGCACTGAGGGGTCGCCCCGAGAGAAGAGCCAGGGCCCCTCACCACCCAGCCACTGGAGGAAGCCTTCTCCGCCAGCGATCTCGCAGCACTATGTTTACAGTGGGGGGAGGGGATCGTACGGGAGCAATAAAGGAGAAACTGAGGCACCCGGCTGGCATCCGTCCTGCCCCGTCACTGGCTCTGGCCCAGGCTGTGGACCCCCAACCCCCGGGGCTGCAGCCACACTTGGAAAGGCTGCATCTTGAGGATGACACTGCAGTGGGGCAGGGGCTGCAGGGAGGGCAGGGCGTCCCCCGGGGGCAGCAGCGTGAAGGCCTGCAGCAGTCGGGTCAGCACCACGAAGAGCTCCAGGCGCGCCAAGGGCTCTCCCAGGCACACACGCGCCCCGCAGCCGAAGGCCAGCGCTCTGGAGTTCTTGCCTGGCTCCAGGAAGCGATCTGCGGGCGGGTGGACAGGTGGGTGGGGAGGCGCTCAGCGGCTGCGGGGACCAACCCCTGCCACCTTTTCACAGCAGGCCCCTGGCCCCCCACATACCAGGCCAGAACTCATGTGGCCTCTCCCAGACCATCTCATCCAGGTGGGCGCCTTGGAGGTTCGGGATGATGACTGTGCCCTCAGGGATGTCATAGCCGGAGATGCTGAAGGGGGCTGGAGTTAGCGGCTGGCCAGGACCTGGCTGGGATCGGGCTTTCCTCACTTATCCCAACCCTTGGGAGTCACCTGCTGGGCCGTGTGGTGCGGTGGGGCAGGGCCAGGGGCACAACGGGCCGCAGGCGCAGCACCTCGGCGATGGTGGCATTGAGCAAGGGCAGCCGTGCACGGTCCTTGTAGGGGACCCGGGAGCTGGAGGCACTGGGGCCTAGTTCGTGGTCTAGCTCCTCCTGCAGTCGCTGCTGAATCTGGGGAATGATCGGGTGGAGTCCTGTCACAGCAGCCCACAGCTGCCCAGCCTCCAGCCATTTCCTCAGTGACCCAGTGAGCCTGAGTGAGGAGACCGCGGCCCCTCTGGGCAAGCACAGCCCCAGCCGCACAGTTCTCAGAGCTGAGTGAGGGTGCCCACCACCCTGGCCAGGCTGCTGGGAAGGAGCCTTTTCTTGTCACCAGGGCGCACCTCAGGGTGGTGAAGTAAAAAAACCACGGCCCAGGAGAGAGTGTTTGCGGTGGTCTCAGTGCCACCGATGAGGAGGTCCACTGCAGCCATGTGCACGTGCCCTTCCAGGAGCTGTCCAGAGCCCTCTTCCATGCTCGGCTGTGCCACCACCTGGAGCATGTAGTCCATCATGTCCCTCCACTGGCCTGCCACCAAGCTCTCCTGCAGAGGGTGAAAGGAGCAGGCTGAGCGGCTGGCCTGGGGAGAGGAGTACAGAGTGGCAACAGGCCCATAACTGGGGCATGCAAAAGAACCCTCCTAGTAGCAATGCTGAGTCCGGTAGCATCACTGGCTGTGGGCTGAGGGGAGGCCGTCCATGCACAGTCCCCACCTTGTGCTGCCTCAGCTGCTTCTCCACGATGTGGTCCCTCTTCTCAATGGCCTGCTTCAGTCTCCGGAGACCTGGATTGGGGAAGAACTGTGGCGGGAAGCATGAGAATGCAGCTATGGGAAGAAGCTTCTCCCTCCACCCCAGCCTCTCCCAACGACCCAGGGGTGTCTAGGCTCCAGGTCCTTACCCTGAGAAAGGGAATCACGTCCACAATTTGGATGGACCAGTGGCTCCAGGTTTTTAACACCTCCTGGATACATTTGTAATAGGCAGGCACTAAGTTGTCCTCCTGCCAGAAAAGGAGGGCGTGCTTTCAGTTCAGGACAAGGAGAGGCTCAGGGAGGGGCTGGGGGTGGCCGGAGGGGCTGTGAGCCACCTTGATCTTGTCTCCGAAGGTGAGGTGACAGATGATGCTGCAGGTGAGGAGAGAGAATTCCTCCTCAATGGCCACAGGGGTGCCGGCCTGGGCTCTCATGCGCTGTGGAGAAGGAATGGGAGTTCAGCAGGCCGGTGTGCAGCAGGCAGGGCGGGAGCTACTTCGAGAGGTGAGGCTGACCTGAGGTGGCCTCGGGAGCCCAGCCTTACCTCGCAGAACTCCTGGGTCAGCTGCTCCACCACGGGCTCCATGGAGTCACGCATGCCCAGCAGCAGGGCTGAGCGGGTGAGCTTCTTGTGGGCTTTCCAGAGCAGAGAGTAGTCTCCCAAGGACAGATCCGGGTAGTTCTTAGACACCAGCTTGTCTGCAGGAGGAGTTGGGGGCTGGAGGGTGGGAACCGGCCAAGGAGGCCAAGGGCCTGACCTTCTTCTGCCTCCGCAACGCCTGCTTCCTCCCCCCAAGATATGCCCCCCAACAGCCTCCAGGGACCTGGATTGGGGGAGCCCCCAAAGGTGGCTCCCACTTGAGGCTGAGGTAGGAGGATCACTTGAGACCAGGAATTCAAGACCAGCCTGGGCAACATAGCAAGACCCCATTTCTAAAAAAAAAAAAAAATTAAGAAAGATAAATTCCCCCAGCCCTTACAGGTAAGTGGCTCAGGTCTGCCAGCAAAGTCTGCCCACTTTTTGACCATGGCTTCCTCAATGGTCCTCTTGGAGTTCAGCACCACCACATCTGCGGGACAGCCAAAGCAGCGTCATCGGAGGGAGAGGACCCTCCCCGCCCCCTCCGCCCTCCTATGGTGAGGGCCAGAGCGAGAACAGGCTCTCACCTTGCAGCCCAAGGTGGAGCCTATAGATGGGCCCGAATTTCTGAGTCAGACCAAGCAGATAGATGGGGAGGTCGGGCTGCAGCAGGTGCAGGAAGCCCGGGACAAGAGGCGGGAGGTGGAGGCTCCTGAGCTTCCAGTGGTTCCACAGCAGGCGGGCGCCAGCCAGCAGGGGCAGCAGCAGCAGCAGCCCCAGGAACAGCATGGCGAGACGCCCGTCAGGGCCCCGAGGGGCCACTTATAGCTCTAGAGCCCCGGCCATCCCTCCTGCTGTGTAGACTGTTTTGGGGCTTCCCTTGACCCCACCTTCGGGTCCCTTCCCACCGTCCCGCCCACAGAGTGGCCCTTTACTGGAATGGCACCAGTCTCATTGGCCTTGGGACATCCGTATTTCAAAAAATGGATCATCCATCAAGAAGCAAGGAAGGGAAATGCAACCCTGACCTTTCTCCTGCAGCCAGAGTCAGCTTTCTGGCTCCACATCAACTGTGGGTGTCCGCCCCCACCTGGGCCCTCTCCCTCTGCCTCCCCACTGTGGGCCAGTTTACTGGCATGATGTTTGTCTCAGCGAGAAAATGGCAATCCCTGCCTAATATGCCTTCCTGAAGAACGAAATGTGATTTGTGTGGGTTTTTTGTTAGTTTAACCTACAGATAGAGGAATACCGCTAAAACCTGGTTTGCCTGGGGCATTCCAGTGTACACAGTGTGATTGCTATTAGTGCCTCGTTTCACTCTCAAAAGTGCCCAGAAGACCAAGAAGGAGGTGGTTTCCCGCTGTGGGGTACTCGCATGTACCAGACGCTGTTCTAAGCACTTTGCGGGCACTAACTCAATTCTCACAGACATGCTCTATATGCAACACGGGTGTCGTTCGCATGTTGTGGAGGGCAGGATTCCGGCCTGGAAATCTAGCTGTAGAATATGTACCTTTAGCCACCAGGAGCACCTTTCTTTGGTTGAAAGGAAAACAGACCACCTTGAGCTGGTTTGAGATCAAAAGTAAGGATTGGGGAATTTCACAGAACTCGGGAATAAGAAAGCAGGGGAGGGGACCCCACTGGCCTTAGAAAGCCAAGGAACAGAAAAAGCCCCGGAGACGGGCAGTTTCCTCACGCTGTTTCTCTCTCCTCTTTCTTCTCTCTGCAGTCAAGTTTCTTGTGTTTCCAGGCACAGGCAGAACACGACTGCCCTCGGGACTAGAGTCCACAGGTTCTAGGTCCAGCCAGGGAGAGTGTGGATTCCCAGCACACCTGGGCATGCCCCCCTCAAAGTCCAAAGTCCCCAGGAAGGGGCTGGATAGCCACAGCTGGATCAGGATCAGGGGTCCAGCCCTATTTGGGGAACTGAAGCCATAAGGGGTGGGGGTCACACTGAACTGTGACACTCAGAGACCACTTTTGTGGGTAAGGAGGCAGTTTGGGGGTTTGGGAAGAGGCCATGCCAAAGAGGAGTGGCAGGGTTCAGTGAGAGGCCAGGGCCTCCTGGATGGTACGTGAGTGGTCAGAGGCGACCCAGGCCCATGCCTTCCCCCCCATTTCTGGCTCTGTAGCCAGACCCAGGGAACAGTGGGGATCTCTCTCCCCTCAGAGTTTTCCAGACTGTGCTGCTGCAGAGCCGGAGTCAAGATCCTGGCTGTGCCACCCACTACATTGGTGAGCTCACTGCTGCTAAATCCACAATCAGGACGGAGACGGAGGAAACAGGATTGGGATTTCTGGGGTTGGACAATGACAGCCACTGCCTTCTTCATGTTGACCTCCCAGACAGGGCCATGTCTTGCTGCAACTGAATCCCTGGCTCTGGAAAATGCGCTTATGCCACCACCATGCTGACCAGCTATTGGCAGAAAGATTCAATGGGCAACCATAGGGCCACGTATGCGAGAGCCTCAGGAAACCTCTGCCACAGTGGGAAGGGTCCAAAATTCTCAACGTTCCATGGGATAAGAGAGCGCTCATCGGAAAGGAGCTCACCTGGAAGGCTGGCGTGCTTACTACTTGTCTCACCATCTCCATCTCTTCCACCACTTTCAAATCCAAACTCCAAATGTGGTCAATTACATGCAATGTCCCCAAAGGTACCCTGTTCTGCCCCCGGCCTCCGGGCCTTTGTACATTCTCCTTCTGCGCCACATGCCCTCACCTACCCCTGCTCTTTGCCTGGCTCCTTCTCAGTCTTCAGAGCCCCATTTGGAGGCCACCTGCTCCAGGAAGCCTTCCCTGTCCCTGCCCGGCAATGCCCCTGACTTGGTTAGATGCCGCACAGGCCCGCACTGCTCCCTGACATCACATCTTTCACAGAGGTTGGGGACTGCCCGTCCGCTTATCTGTCTCCCCAGCGACGAGCCCTGCAGTGAGTAAGTAGCTGTCTCTGTGGCACCTGGCACAGGGCGTGAAGTGAAAGTTTCCCAAATTTCTGTTGAATGACTGGATGGCAGGCTGCTCAACTGTTGTGACCTCTACGGAAACTGACTCAGCAATCTTCTTTGGACACATTTCGGAGCCATCTCTGAAGACCCCAGGTGTGCCACTAAATGGGGGAAAGCTAGGCAGGCAGCATGGGAAGGGAGACCCCAGGAGAACAGCCGCTTCCTCAGAGGATTCACAAACAGCACAGTCAGACTTTTGGCTTGTTTGAAACCAGTAACTGGAAGAAGACACTACCGGACCTGAGGATTGCACAACTCTGGGAACGTCACCTCACGCCACTGATAATAGAACGAAGCATCACGAGGCTTTCAACAGCCCAGAACTCAGCAAAAATCCACAGACCTCTGAACCACCAGCACCATGAGGACAGAGTCGGGGAGGTGTGGCTGGACAACAGCTCATGAGGCAGAAGAGCTGTGTCAGAGGTGTCAGCTGAGCACAAGCCCTGTCTGAGGCCGTGGTGACTGGCGACAGCCAGGCAGTGGAGGGCCTTGGAAGCTGAAGGGTGGCCTTGGCATGGACTCTGGTCCTTGGGGGGCAGGCTCTTGGGTCCCAGTTCTGCTTGGGGTGGTCCTGTGAAGCACTAGACTCCTAGCGGGTGGTCATCAGGGAGGGTCTGACGGAGCTAGACAGCCCAAGGGTCATCAGGGCTCAGAGGGTCTGAGGTTATGTCAACCTGGCCTGCCCCAGAACTGCAATGTGGAGGGGCACTGCTCTCGGCCCTAGCGACACACACTGACGCTTTGCTGCCAAAAACCTTTAATATGCCCTGGTCCCAGGCTGTGTTCAGGAAAGCGGAGACAGCAGTGCTTCCAGTTTCATGGTTCCCAGGCTCAGGTTCCTCCCAGGGGAGGCGGGAGGGCAGCCCTCACACCTGGCACCCCTGAGTGCCATACTCCTGGAGGAAGTCGTGGAGCTGTGTGCAGGCTGCCCGCTGGCGGGTGCTCCGGCACAGGCGTTCAGAAGGCATCTCCTCGATCCAGCTATTCGAGTCCAGCAGGTACTGGGGGCTGCAGGGGGCAAAGGGGCAGTCAGCAGGGCTCGGGAGGATGGCAGTTGGGAACAGAGAGCACAGGCATCTGGCTTCTGAAGGGCAAGGCCTAGGTGGCGAGGCATGGGGAGCATAAGAGACTGAGGGGATCAGACGACTCACTGTCCCTCGAGGTCATAGGTGGCCCCATCCAGACCCATGATCAAATATTCTCTCCCAGGTTCCAAGCGAAGGCGGCAAGACGCTCGAACCAGGAAGTTGCGCGTCTGATTAACAGTGGCCTTGACATCCTTGGCTGCGGGGATGACGTGCACAAAAGTGGTCAGAGAGGAAGAGAAGGTGCAGGGCGAGCCCAGGCCAGCAGCTCTGTGTAGCTCCTCTCATTCCACCTTCGCCACCCCCACGGAGAGGTGCCACTGCCTCCCTATTCATGGCCAAGCCCAGGGCTTCTGACACGCTGAGGGGATTTTCACACTTCCAGATGGTCAGGTCCTCAGCCAGACCTCAGCCTCCCTGTCTCCCCACAGCCCTGCCCGCCTCTCGATTCGCTTCATACTGAAGTGCAGGACTTGGGTGATCTTGGTCTCAAAGAGGCGGAAAGCCGCTCTGCTGTCTTCTCGGAGAACCTTCACCTGGAAGCCTAAGAGGGGGTTAGGAGAAGGGAGAAAGGTGAGTTACTTTCAGGCTGAGAGGGCAGGAAGTTGGTGTCAGAGCAAAGAGGCTGCATGCATGACCTGTAAGAGGGGCAGGCTACACCCAGAGAGACCAAAACAGCCAGTCCCCGAGGGAGGGTCAGGCCAGGGCCTCGGTGGGAAGACTGACCGTACTCCACACGGGGGTAGTAGCAGGCAAACTTCATCCTGTAGCCATCCTCGTCCTGCAGACCCCGCTCCAGGGCGCGACGCTGGCGAGGGCACTTCCCTGAAGTCGGGGGCCCCATCAGACAGTGTGGGGGGTCCCCGGCCATCTCGCCTCCACTGCCCCGCCCCAGGCCCTCAGTCTCACCCTCAGCACACTGGCAGACTTCAGCAGAACACAAGGTGGCCAGGAGTCTGCTCTTACTTGGTGCCCCGTAAAACACAGAACATCTGCGCTCTGGAGAACACAGAGGAGTCAGGGCACGGGTCCCTCTGTTCTGCCTCCTCAGTCCCAGGGAGCCCCAGCACTTTCTGCCCCCCACACTACCCCAGTGTCCACTGTCCCACAAGAGGGCACCTATGCCACAGCTCTCCCGAACTCCAGGGTGTCCCGCAGTGCTCACCCGGGTTGTAGTAGTCGTACAGGGCTGCGCTGGCCGGCTGCACCAGCCCCACGGGAACTTCCTGCACAGCCTCAAAGCCCACGCACTCCCGGGAGGTGGGGACCTGGCCCAGCGTGGGGAGGAGAGATGAGGGACCCACTCCCTGGGCCCTGCAGCCCCCTATACTGGATTTCCTTGGCCTGGTTTTGTTTGGTTCCTGTTGGCCTTCTCTCCAGTGTCCTTCACATTCTGTTACCTTCCTACTCAGAGAACTCTCCAAGCTGCTCCGCAAGGTCTCTGGTGACTTCACTTCCCAGAGGGTGACCTTGCGCCAGTCTTCACTGCCCCAGGCCCTCAGCAGAGTCTTGCATCATGGACATGTTCTCTGTGACACTGTCCCTAAGCTAAGGCTTAGCTTCTGGAACACCCTTGGTTCTGAGCTGGTCATTTCTTACGTTCCCTCCTTCGAACTTGCTTCCTCAGTGCTCCCCTGTGGGGGCCTCAACCACTCCCTGCCTTCCACTAAACCGCTCCAGGCTGATGATTCTCAAACTGCACTTGCAGCTCCATCTCTGCATTAGGGTTTTGGCAGGACCTGTGAGTTCTCCAAGGCACTCTGCCTGCCCCCAAACCCACTCACCCTCCTGACAGCCTCAACTTTGTCATGGATACAACTGGGTCCTCCTTTATTGGCCATAACCTAACTGCAGGTTCTGTCATCCTGCCTGACCCCCCCGACTCAGGTCCCAGGCCTGACCCCTCCTCACGCCCACGCGCGCCCAGTCCACACGGTGCCATGCCAGTGTCTCTCCTGAGCTGGGCTGCCGCGCCGTCAGCTCCCTCTCCGGGAATCTTGCTGGCTGTGTTTTCCATTGTGTTCAGCCCAGATGTGTCAGCCAGGCTTCCCCAGCTGATGGGGGCTGGCCCCTCTGCACACACTGGGTAAGGGTCTCCCTGACCGACAAACAGCTGGCTAATGAAAGCCACCACACCTTTCTCACATTTTCTCCCAGAGGTTACAGTAAATGTTCAAAAAACATTTTGAAGGTCGGGCCCAAAATGTTTGGTGGCTCTGGCCTGTAAACCCGGTACTTTGAAAGGCCTACGCCAGAGAATTGCTTGTGGCCAGGAGTTCAAGTCCAGCCTGGGCGACAGAGCGAGACCCTGTCTTTAATAACTAACTAAATAAAAATGTTTTGAAGGCCATAAGAGGGTTGATAACTATTTTAGTCAAATAAGGCCGTGAAAAGACAAATACAGCTGTCATCTATGGCCACCATCACTTTATAAAAGAAAAAACGCTTTAATATTAAAAAAAAAAAAAAAGGAAGTTCAACAAAAAAACAAAGGCAGCCCCTCAAGCTGAATAAAACCGGCTTTACGAAGCATCCCTCTCAAGCCCCGAGGGTCCCCGCTGACTGGCACCGGCCCCTGCCACCTGCAGGTCTGCCCCTCACTCTGCTGTGTCTCACAGGCTCACATCCTCGTCCTTCTCGCTGATGACATCAAGTCCCCAAGAGCACTGGCGGCTGACACAGCTGTCTCCTGAGAAACCTCCTAACGCACACTCAGTACACCCAGTGCCATCGAGTCCCTTCCTGCGTCACCTCTCCCCACTCACCGAGTCAAAATACAGCAGGACGTGGGGCCCCTCGGTCTCAAAGTGACTCACGTAACGGTCAGAGAGGGAGGTCAGCTGTGGAAAAGGGGAGGTGGTCACAGGTCACAGGCCCTGCACATGACAGGGCTCAGCACCGGGGCAGAGGGGGTTGCCCTGGGGTCTGACCACACCTTCTCTAGGTCAGCACGCAGGGCGTGGAATCCACTCAGGAGGGTGATGTCCGCGATGGCCATGCCAGACAGCCCCACCTTGCCGTTCCGCCTGTGGAGAGACGTGACCTGTCGTCCAGGTTCTGCCTGCGCGGGCTCCAGAAGCCCAGCCCCAGCCTGGGTCCTGCCCTCCCTCCCCTGGCCCAGGACAGCTCCCGGCGCCCACCAGATGCACACGGTGTAGTGCACCCTGGACTCCTGCTCCTCCACCACCTTGGGCGCCTCCCTCCTGCGGCGGTTCCTCCGACCCTCAAACAGCTGCAGGGGTGTCACGGGCTGCAGAGGGACACCTGGGTCGTCCCTGGCTGGAAGCTCATCGTACTCATAGTCCTCATAGTCCTCGTTTGCTTCCACTGCACAGGGAAGCATTGTGAGGAGGGCTGGGATGGCCACCTGGCTCCCTGCACCAGCCCCTGCCAGGCCCCGAGGCCTCCCAACCCCCACACTCACTCGTGTACTCGACGTGGCCTTTGACTGTCACTTCTATCTGCAGGTCCTGGCAGGTCGTGTTCTTCATGTCCAGGACATTGTAGATACGAAGGACCTGGCTCAGCAAGGGGCAGGGAGAGGACGCAGGACATTTGAGGCCACAGACCTCTCTGGTGCCATACCTAAGGGCGTCTCCCCGGGCTACGGGATTTGAGGCCTTCAGCCCCTTTTTATCCTCGTCACTGCACAGGCCACACTCACGAGTGGCACCAGATTTGCCACAGGTGCCGGGTGAGACAGAAAGGTAAAGAAGCAGGCCCCTGCCCCCAGAGGCCAACACTCCAGACTGTGCTGGGAAGAGGCTGGACTGAAAAGCTCAGGAAAGGCTTCTGGCCAAGGCTTGAAGGAGGAGAAAGAGTTTGTCCTGTGGGCCAAGAAGCAGGGAAGGACGGGAAAGGCACGGGGATCTGTGTAGGCAGGATCTGTCTGGCCGGAGAGGTGGGCAGAGGCCCAGCCATGTGAGCCATGGGCAGGGGGTGTGACTTTTCCCCAAGGCTGATCTGGCTGGGGCTTGTGGAAGGTCAGTGTCACTGCCGTGTGGACAGTGGATCAGACAGGGGAGTTAAAGAGAAGTTCCAGGTAGGGAGAAGGTCGTCTTAGCACAGAATCTCGGATGCAAGCAGCAAGGGCCACAGGCAGCAGGGGAGCGGAGGAGGGGTCACTAGGGACATAAGGACAGGCTTGGGAGAGGGGCCACTAACACGGCCTCTGGAGTAGTGGCCGGGCTCCTGGCTGGCAGGGGTTCCCATCAGCCAGACAAGAGACACACAATGAAGAAGGGCTTTGGGACACGTCTCGTCTGAGATGCTGTGGGAGTGGGACGAGTGGGGCCCGTGGTCGAGGGAAGAGGCCTGGGCTGAGGAGTGGGATCCAGGGCCATCAGCACTGAGGCAGGTAAAGGAAACAACAGGTACCCAGAGACGGGGAGAGCAAGCAGGGGGAAAACACCCAGGACGGAAGCACGGGACGCCAACCCTGAGGTGTCTGCCTCCTTCCCCGGACCATGCGCCTCTGCCCACAGGCCTCTCACTTCACACCCGTCTCCTCCGCCAGTGCCCGGCCCTGCCCCTTC